TCATCTTGAAGACAGAGAATTGCCTAGTTGTATAATTTTTTTTGAACACACTGCATCTAAACACAATGCTGGGGAGAATAAACAAGAGCCCTGTCCCTACTGCCCAGCACCTTTTTTGAAGATCAGAAGCAGCACATAGTCTAACCACTGACTAGATCAGTAAAAATTAAAGAAGGAATATTTACGGAATGGGATTTCTTTGCTGTGGTGTTACTCTGCCAATATTAGAATTATTTGAACAATAACAAAAAAAGCCTAACTCTTAAATTTAGTTTTTAAGAGTGGGCCCAAACTCCAAGGATGCCTGTTCCCTTGCTTCCTACATATCACTTGGAACTGTCTGTCTCCTTAAATTGTGCTAATGGAACTGTCCTGTAGGAACCCTGTCTCGGAAACCATTCAAAATGGTTTCTCCAGCTTCAAATGGGGAAGTGCAAGCTTGGTGCCATCCTCATCTTAACAGACCATCAGGCCTTTCCATCTCTAGTTCTAGAATATCTCATCCACCCAAGGTCATGTGTCCTTCCCAATCTCTACTGTGTGCAACAGGGATGGGATGCAGACGGGGATGCCATGAAATTAATGTTATCAAAGAAACAAGATCTGGTGCCTGGGTCACAAGACACAATAGCACATGGTTTTGCTGGGGTTGATTAAAAGTCATTGGTTCAGATTATGTCCATTTATAAAAGTCGTTCCTACACTTTGCTCTTGTGAATGAGCTTGGAGACAACTAAGGCTAGGAAAGAAATGCTTACCATGGAAGCATTAAGTATATTTAAAAAATATTTTATTTATTTAAGTTTTAAATTTTAAGGGTATTGCCTGCCTGTATATAAGTGCACCTGTCTTGTGCAATGCACACCGATCAGAAGAGGGCATCGGATCCCCTGGAATTGGAGTTGCAGACCACTGTTAGCCGCCATGTGGGTCCCGGAAACAGAACCCAGATCCTCAGCAAGAGCAGCTAGTGCTCTTTACTGCTGAGCCATCTCCCTAGCCCCACATTAAGTATTTTTATGTGAGAATCATGCTGATGTTGAAGGTAGACTGAGAGAGAGAAGTCATCAGAAAATGTCTAATGTTTACCTGCCATGTCTGAACCACTTAAGAGTTTTTTGTAGGATACAAGGACATTAAAAACCTCAGGTTTGGGCTGAAGAGATGGCTCAGTGGTTAAAAACACTTGCTGCTTTTGCAGAAGATCCAGGTTCAGTTCCCAGTACCATATCGGGTAGCTCACAACTACCTGTAATCTAGTTCCAGGGGGTCTGATGCCATCTGGCCACCACAGGCACATGCATGTACATGGTACACATACATACATCCAGGTACATACACACACACACACACACACACAATGAAAATAAAATACACACCTTAGGCTTGACTTTAAAAATGGTGGCACACAAACCAGGTTCTGAAACCTTAAGAAGACTCTTTGCCAGTATCAATCTTTAAAAAATGTTCTCCTTGGGGCTGGAGAGATGGGTCAGTGGTTAAGAGCACTGGCTGCTCTGGCAGAGGACCCAGGTTTGGTTCCCAGCACCCACATGGCAGCTAACAACTGTCTGTAACACTCCAGTTCCAGGGGCCCCAATGCCATTTTCTGGCATCAAACGCATGAGCACACACACATGTAGGCAAAATACTCATACACATAAAACAAAAACAAATCAAAAACTTTTTAAAAAGTCTTATATTTTAAAAAGTTTAAATTGAGTTTATGGCATGTGATATCAATCATATATAATTTGCTTAATAATTTTCAGAGGTGTTCCCCACTAATCTATTAAAGGACTCTACCATTTTATTATTCTGCCAATTATATTACCTCCCTCTTATCCACAGTTTCAACTTTTGCAGCTTCAATTACTTAGAATCAACTGTGGTCTAAGAACATTGCATGAAAGAGTCCAGAAACAAACAGTAAGTTTTAATGTGAATGCCACTGGACACAGCACACTGTTCTTCCACTGTCTGTCTTTCTTGGGACATGCATCATCCCACTGTGCAGCACATCCACATTGAATATGCAACCAGCCCACCCATCACTTAGTAGCCATCTGATTAGTGGTCTCAGTGTCATAAAGATGGCATTCAAGTAGTACTTGTTTTATTTCACACTGACACCCAAGCACACGGATAGTGCTGCTGACAATGTAGCTACTCCAAAGGGAAGCTATGATGCCTCTCTCTAAGTGAAAAGGTGGAAGTTCTCAACTTAAGGAAAATAATCAGATTATGAGGTGGCTAAAATCTATAACAAGAATTAATCTGTCTGAGAAACTACAGAGAAGGACAAATAAGTTTATGCTAGTTTTGCCAAAGTAAATAAGTTAGAGCAGCAGTGTGCGGTAAGTGCACAGTCACTCTCCTTCAGCTCATCGATGTAGGCACCTTGTCACGGCATTTGGGCATGCTCATCAGAGGCCCAAAGCAAGAGCCTGCCTGGTTGTAGACCAGAACCTCCAAAACTACCCGTGAAAATAAGTCTTTTCTCTTTACAATTAGTTATTTTAATTTTTTAAAGTGAAAAGTTACATTTATTTACTTATTGTGTATATCTGTGCGTGTGTGCGTGTGTGTGTGTGTGTGTGTGTGTGCAGGTGTGCCACAGTGTGCATGTGGAGGTGAGAAGAATACTTGTGGGAGTTCCTCTCTCTTCCCACCATGTAGATTCCAGGGATTTAATTCAGTCCCCAGGCTAAGCAGCAGGCACCTTTCCCAGCTGGGTTATCTTGCCAGCCCAATAACTTAGTGCTTTTACATATTTAATTACATGATGGAAAGTTGACCAACAAGACACAAGTAGGAAAGAAACATAGTTTATGTAGGGGTCTGAACTGTCCACGGTTTCTAGCACCTACTGGGGATATTCCAGGAAATGTAGTTCCCACAGATATGGGAGCCATTGTACTCCCTATCAGTTTATGATATATGATCTTGTACTTTTCAGGTTATGTGATAATACTGTATCCTAGATAATTATTGGCACTTTAAAGGCTACCATCAAACAGCAGATATCCAACCACACTCTGATGTACCACTGTCCACTGACTATCCACGTAAATTTGGGCAAGCTGCTTACCATTCCTCATCTGCAGTATAAATCAGGGGAATTAAAGGAGGGGATGCTTAAAACTCCTTTCCACCCTGGGCTTCATGATATCATGAAGAGGACATTCGCGCCTACTCAAGTTAATTCTTTTCTGCAGCCCCTATATTCAGATAGCTTTCCCATTATCGCTCTTGATCTGTTACAGAATCTACCATGCACATGTGTTTTCATATTTTGGTGCTGAAATGTCTCAGTTGTTGGTTTTATAAACAAGCAGACTCTAAAAACAAGATTAGACATAAATTGCAATTATCAAACCATAATTGTTATTAATCATTATCAAATAACAGCTGTCAGTTACAGCACTGCCAGGCCCATATTTCATTTTACTCCTCTAATAATCTTGTAAATAATAATTATTCCCATTTTACAATCATTAAAATCAAGTTTTTTGCAGGATGTTTTCAAGTAACTATCCCATATCATTAGGAAATGCATTATTAAACTTTCTTTTAGCACCTATTAGAGAGAAAAGTATTATAGACTTAAGATAATTAAAAAATTTTATTACAAATAATAAATATTACCAAGACCACAGCATATAAGTTAACACACCAAAGAGACTCAAATATTTATGAATAAGTTTTAATCAGAATTGAGGACCGGGTACATGCACTCATGGATACTACCTATTTGTTGGACAGAGCAGCTGACTTTCTAAGACTGCTTCTATCATTATAGATCAAGGGCTTTGGAGTCTTGCAGTGGAGATACAGATACTGTAATCTCATGCTATTAGATTTACAGGCAAAGAACTCTCATTCTCCAGGGGAGAATGATGATCCTGGGGGAAAGGAGTGGAAAAACATTCATGAAGTTTCTTTATCCCCACTGACAAGGCTAAGGCTATAGGTCCAGGCTAACTTGGAGGCCCTGTCTCTATAAACTGGTACCCAAAGAGGCAGATGTAGGAAGAGGGAAGAACTAGGAGAGGGATGAGATGAGAAGTCCTGGCCAGCAGAACATGGAGCACAGAGCTAAATGATCTTTGATGTGTGCTTTTGAGGCTTATAAGTGGCAGCAGTAGTCGGATGGATGGATTATGGATCCAGAAAAAGTGTCAACATATTTGCTTTCAATCTACAGATTTACCATAGCAGCCCCTAGTCAGGGGTTGCTATTTGAATTTGAATAAATAAAAATTAAAAATTAATTCCTCTGTTATACAGCAATTCAAGGGCTCAACAGCCATTTGTGGCTGCAGTATTAAAACCTGAAAGTATAAGATTATTTCCCAAATCACAGCAAGCTCTATTAGACAGCACTGCTTTAGAGTCTAGATTATATAGGAAACCAACATTTGAACTCTTGATGTCTAACAGTTACTGAAAAGTAGATACGGCATTGTGGACAAGAGAATAGACTGTATCCAAACTTCAGGACTCAAATCATAGTTCCAAGCCTTGCTTAGTTACGTGACTTTGGGTTTTCTGCTAAATACTCTGAGCCTCAGTTTGCTCATCTGTAGAACAGGGATGATAACGGTTCAACTTTTACAAGGCTGTTATCAGGGTTAACACACATAGAGGACTTATAAAGATTTCTAACAAAGAACAGGCACTATGTTTTTCATTAAAACATACACAGATTTACTATCCATTACTGATTGCTGTATCTGATCCTTTTTTCAGTTCTCTCCCCACAAATCAAACCTTTTCCTAAAGGGCTAAAAATACTCTCATGCCACATGTCCATAATTGTACTTCGGAGGTTTGTAAGTTCAAGGATACTAGCCTAGGCTACATAGTGAGACCCTGTCACAAACAAGTAAGCAAACAAGCAAGCTGACACAAACACACAACCTCTCTCATCAACACAACACACACACACACACACACACACACACACACATGAGATTAAGGCTGGCTTCTCTCCTTACTTGTAGCACAGAATGTCAGCTGCCTGGAGGACTGGGTATGTGAGCAGACCCACTGTTCCATCATGCTTCTGCTTCGTGGTTTTTGTCTGTAGGAGAAGAGAGAAAGGAAAGAAATCTGACTTGAAATTAACTATATTGCTCAATTAGGACATTTTAAAAGCAAGCCAAGTGTCATCTGGTCACCTATCATAACATTATATTTCAGGCCCATCAGCAACTCTAGCTGTCTTCTGGTTGGGTTATTTTCATGCTCTAGGCTTAGGCAGAAATAAGATGGATGTATTTTTACCACGTGCATGTTATTTTCCTTTATTTCCTTGGTGGGGCTTCACTCCACCAAGCCCATGGCCCTACAGAACTATACAGCTCGTGCCCCTGCCCTGCCTCTACTTCTCAATTTTTATTTGTTATTTATTTATTTATTACTATTTATTTATTCATTTATTTATTTATTTATTCATTTACTGTCTTTTTGAGACAGGTTCCCCCTGTAGCTCTGCTGGCCTGAAACTCACTATGTAGACCAGGCCTCGAACTCAGGATCCGCCTGCTTCTGCCTCCTAAGTGCTGGGATTAAAGGCATGTGCCACCACACCCGGCTTCTCATTCATTTTATTAAAGACAAAGGAATTTTCAAGATTCCAAATCAGATAAACTCCAGAGTTCACAGGCAAGTTCAGAAATTTTAAGAAAATTAAGTTTCTCAAAATTAACATGAGTCAACTTCCCCTTGCTGCAACACCTACGATGAGGGCACACTCACAGCTGTCACTGGGTAAAGTTCATAAAAGTTTAATCCAGAGAAGGACAAACTGAAGAAAAGAAATAACACCTCAAGTCATAAAAGGTGCTACTGGGATCAGCAAGGTGGCTCAGCAGGTAAAGGTGCTTGCCACCAAACCTGACACGAATTCATTCCTCGGGACCCACATGGTGGAACCTGCCTTCAGCAAGATGTCCTCTGACTGACACATGGGTCCTATGGTAAGTTCCCCACCCCTCAAGATAAATGAAAAGGTTAAAAACAAAAGGATCCCCAAATAAAAGCTATTGCACTAAATTTATAGTTAAAATTTTATTTATTTATCTATGTATTATTATTGATATGTGTGCTTATGAGGGCACATGCTGCAACAGGCATATAATGGTCAGAGAATAACTTTGGAGCATCAGTTCTCTCCTGTCACTGTAGGCTGTAGGGACTGAACTCAGGCCATCTTGCTCGTGTTGAGCCACCTGGCTGGATCAACTTGTGGATTTATTATTTCTCTTTTACTATGTGTACACCTGTGTCTGTCTATGAGTGTGTGCCACCTGTCTGAAGTACCTACAGAGGCCACAAGAGGGTGTTGTATTCTCCTGGAGCTGGAGTCACAGGTGGTCGCTGAGTCACCTGACATGGGTGCTGGGAGCTGAACTCAGATTCTCTGGAAGAACAGGAAGTACCCTGACTGTTAAGCCATCTCTCCAGCCTCTGAGTTTTTCATATAAGCATACTGTCCCTTGGAATTACAAAGGAAGGGAAGTGGTGCAGAGAACACGGGTATTACTGAGTGCCCATTCATGTGCTCTGGATACCTTGCTCATTGAGCCTATGAGTAACCCTGACCTCACCCTCAGGCCACTGCTCCAGCCCTCACTGTCCCAATCAAGAATGCTCTCACCATATTCTGCCAGGACACTGGAATCCTGCTCAGAGAACTTTCTACACTTTACTACTGCTTTAAATTGGAAATTAGTGGTAGAGTATTCTAATAAAACAGTCAAGTGTTGACTAAAATAAAATCACAGAAGAGAAGATTATAAAAATTTTGTTTCTAATGTCTAGCAGGTGATTACTTTGCAACACCACCATTAATACATTATCTATTTATTGTTAGCTCTTTGAGTTTCTATAATAAGGTACCAAAACACATTGGCTTCTGAACAGCAGGCTTTCATTCCTCTCAGCTCTGGAGGCTGGGAAATATAAGATTACAGAGAACACAGAAGGCGAAGAGTCTACACCTAGCTTAGCAGTGGTGCCTTCTTCTGTGTCCTCTCTTAGCAGCAATCCCATCTTGAGGGGTCTGCTCTCCCAATCTGACCACCTCTCAAACCCCCACTTATTAGGGGCTAGGTGGGGAGGAGCATACAAATACTCAGACCTCAACACTCAGGAACTGGCTCTTTAAAGCTGTTTCTGAAGATCAACTTTTGAAAACCAATGGCCCTGAAAATATGCTCAGAAGACGTTTGAAGCTAAAATCAGTGTTAACATAGTTGGGGGCTGCCTACCTCGAGTTATCCGATTGCAAAAGTAAATGGAAGTAAAGTACTTGTGAATTATCCAATTTATCTTTCTCAGTGGAACTTCTCAGAAAAAGCATGGCCTTAATTTTTCTGTGGGTTTGAACAGTTGCCTGGGCTCGACTTGTTTAAACATTAAAGAAGATATGTCGTCTCTTCTTCCTACAGTGAAAACATTCTTTTCTGACTTCAACAGTGGGGTTCAGTAATCTAGAAATTGTGATTGTTTATTAATTATAATGTGGTTGGTTCAAAGCCACTACCAAGTCCATCCAAATACAGATAAAAAGAGCAGCAAATAGAATTTTAAGTCAGAAGGAGTCTTGGTGAACCCTGCTGTTTTCTGCTTAATACTCTGACAACAGAGAGGTGAAAGATGCTGGAGCAGATCTGGTGGCAGACCAGGATGGTAAATAAACTCAGGCTCCCAGAGACTGACATAGCAATAAACACAAAAGGAAACGGCTTTCTTGAATAACCAGATCTCTGACATTACCTTCCACTGATGCAAGTGCTGTAATCGAGGCAGTCTGACCATGCAGGTAAGGATCCAACTTAACTCAGTGTGTTCAGACACCTGAGGAAATCAAAAAAGAACATTACCAAAGGTGGCCAGTTTCCTTGAATAAAAGAATTAAATAGATAGTTGGTATTAGCTGAGATAGTGAAAGTAATTCAAGGCAAGGTTATTAAAAGGTAACAGGTGACAGGGCTGAGCAGTGATTCACAATGCATGGACTCTAAGGTCAAGAAGAAATAATAAAAACCAAGTCAAACAAGTTCTAGTCTAGTGCCCAAAGTCCTCAACATCCCTAGAAAAGGGCGTAACCAAGGTCTGTTTCAACATCTTCAGTGTGGGTTCCATTGCATTCTGAGACATCTGTTCCCTTGAAAAGTCAGCCTTGTCACAAAAGGCTTTCTTTATTTCTCTGTTTCTCTGTTTCCTGCATGTCTCAAATCCTCTCTGACCCACTTTTAAATATATGAAGATAACCACAATACCATACATGTAAATGGTAAAAAAAAGACATTTAAATTAAACCTAAAAGCTTGGATTGTTCAGATCTAGAGTCATTTGAAAGTAGAATGACTTTATCATCTTCCATCCAAATAGTATTTAAGAGTCTAGTTCCTCCTCCACCTTTATCTCCCTTCCTTCCTTCCTTCCTTCTTTCCTTCCTTCCTTCCTTCCTTCCTTCCTTTCTCTCTCTCTCTTTCTCTCTCTCTTTCTTTCTTTCTTTCTTTCTTTCTTTCTTTCTTTCTTTCTTTCTTCTAATCAACAAGAAACTACAAACTGTCCTCAATTCATTTGTTTGAATCAAGTTTAATCAAGTAAGTAAAACCTGGCAACAATTGGGATGATTCTTGGGCCCAGGCCACGTTCTAACTGATGACCTACAATGTAAGTCCTATGCACCCCATTTCTGGGCCCTGGGGATTCCAAGTCCATTGATTGCGGCATTCTGTATCCATATGATTCCCTTAAAAAGCAAAGACTGTTGCCAAATCTGCAAAGCAGCCCCAAATGTGTGTGTTCTTTGTGGGTTTTGCAGAGGGAACATAAAGGAACAGAGCTGAACCAGTCCAGGCCTATTTTACTAGCAAGGAATTGACATCTGCTGTTAGATAGTTTCTTGTTTTTCCCTTAAGTTATAGAGAAGGGAGTTTTCCATGTGTTTGTTTTTCACGTGTTTGACAAGGAATCACTTTTAAAGTTCTGCAAGTCGCCGGGCTGGGTCTGTCATCTTTTTTAGAAGAGGCATTTGGGTTTTATTGAAGGCAGTGGGTATGACAGCACTGTCCAAGCAAATTGCTAACTCCTGCTCTAAGCAGCTATCAGGTATAAACAGCAACCCAGGATGTAACCAAGAGGATTAGAGTTGTTTCCAGTCATCAGACAAAACATTCCCATTAGAACCATAGAACACAAGCTTGTTTTTTGCATGGAGAAGAATCAGAGTGTTCTTTTTCCTCTTTACTGAATTGGGGGAAAGGAATGAAAACACAGAAAATAGTGAGGGATGTGTGGAAAGAGGCAAGGCAACCCTTTCCCTTCAGTCTCATTCAAATGCTTAGCTTTGGTGAATGAAACAAAGCTATGACCACATCTCCATGAATGCAAATATTTTCCTTGGGGTAGCTTTTAGTTCGGACCTATGGGATGAAATTTACTTAATATTCTGCAACGATCTTGGTGTTACCAAATTAGCATTAAATTAATTCAAATAATACTAAAAGAGAGAGAGAGAGAGTAAGCAAAAGACCTAAGCCAATTAACTTTTTACCATTCATCTTCAATAATTATACAAGTAGCACTGCAGGATTTGGTTCTCGTCATACTCGATGCATGGAAAGGTACTGATCTCTATTTGATGAAAAAGCCAAAGCGGTAGATACCAAGATATCTTCTTTTCCTAGTTTGTGAAACCACAAGCAAAATAGCTGCATAGTCTGTTCTAGCCATAGAAAAACAAAGGCATGGAACAACACACTGGCCTATTAATCATATGCAAACAAGTCAGCAGTGAAAAACAGAAAAGAACTAAAGATATTTGCAGAGAGACATGAGTATATTTCAGTTACAGCAATCTGCCTGCCTTGTTCACCCGTGTAAAACACAGGCTGGTGTGCTGCATGTACTCGGGAAATATATGAGCTCTATTTGGTAATTAACTTGTTGATCAAAGGAGTGATTGGGGTGGAAGTTAATTATAATAGAGAAGAGGGTGAGGCTACCAGGTAGGATATAAAGACAGCACAAGAAGCTCGGCAGCGTGGTTAAGAGCTTTGTCTTGAGGGCTTGTTTGGAGGTTCTAGCAGGGGTGCATGGCTATGTGTATATCCTTGATCGAACAATGTTCCTTCAGGGAAGGTCGCCCTCTTCCACTGAGCACATGTGCAGCTTCCATGAGGGAGGAAGGGGATACCCATCTAACCAGCCAGATCAGCTGAATCAACTTTGGCCATCAACAATGCATCATACGTTGAAGTCAGACCACCTTCACATCAAAGAGCTTTGTCTTTTGAATGAGTGGACCTGGGCCTGAATCCTTATGACACTTATAGCTTTGTGATTTAACTAGCCTCTTTATGTCTCAGTTTTGTTACCTATAAAATGCATCATCATCAAAGAGTGCTCATCCAAAAGAGTCTTTACCTTGAAAAATATTTTATTATTTTTATTTTGTGTGTTTTGCCTGCATGCAATGCCTGCAGAGGCCAGAAGAGGGCATCGGATCCCCTGGAACTGGAGTTAAGAATGGTTGTTAGCTGCCATGTGGGTGCTGGGAATCGAACCTGGGTCCTCTGGAAGAACAGTTAGTGTTTTTAGCTGCTGAGTCATCTCTCCAGCCTGTGTTGTAGACGCAGGCTGAACACTGTCAGCCTATGTGACAACTTCTTCCTCCCCCACTTTGGTTTTTTCTCTGGCAAGCTGGCCGTCTTCTCTCCCCTGACTACACGGGCAGACTCCCACCTCAGAAGTTTTGCACTGGCTTTTTTTTCCCTGATGGAATTCTCCTCCTTCAGACACTCTTTGGCTAACTCTTTTAGCTTAAATTTGCTTAACTATCACTTCATCAAGGTGTCTTTCAGAACATACCATATGAAACAGCAATCTGTTCTCCTCAATTCCACTGCCAATCTCCTTAATATTTTCCCATGCCACTTGCCATCTTCTGTATTATAGTTACTACTTATTTTGCTAATCCAACAGAAATTAAGTACCATGGTGGCAAAGACTTTTTTTAGTTATTCACTGGTACATCATAAGTGCTTAGCATAGTACCTAGGATATAATAAGTGTTCATTAAATGTCTGTGAAATAAATTCATGAACAAAATTAAAGGTTCAGTAATAGAGAAATGCCTTAATAAGTATGATCATATAATGAAACATGTGGCTGTCATGGCTAATTTTAATTGTCAACTTGATTTGATTAGGAAACACCTAGGGCATTAATGAGGCATACTTATGGGTGTGCCTGTGAGTTTTCCAAAGAGGACTGGCTGAGAGGAGAAGACACACCCTGAATGTGGGCAGCACCATCCCATGGCTTGGGGTCTCAGACAACAACAATGGGAAAGGGAGGAGGCCACTGGAGAGCTGGCATTCCCTCTTTACTGCCTGATCCACCAAGATGTGAGCAAGCAGCCTCGCATTCCTGCTGTCACAGCTGTAAGCCACTGGGCTGTCACCCCTTCCCTATCAGGATGGACGGTACCCCCATGCTGTGAGCCAGAATCAACCCTTCGTCTCCTAAATACCTTCTTATCAGGTATTTGATCCCAGCATCAAGAGAAGAAACTAATTCTGTGGTATGATGACATACTATCCAATAAGGAAAATAAGCTAGGTGTGTATGTATAAACAGATCATACCAAGATACTGCTCTGTGCAAAAAGAAAACTGCAGAAAGACACTAAAATATTATACTATTTTTGTAAAAAAATTTTAAGCCACAAAACAAAAAATAGTATATAGTCTTCATGGAACTATGAGTTTGTGGAAATTTAATATAAATTATGGGCTATGCTGATCACAGGAGATCTACAATTTTGGTTGTCTATGGCAACAGATGTAAGGAGGAGAGATAAGTGGACTGTGCCAAGGAAGGATTAAAAGAAGCTCAACTTCATTTATAATTTAAAGACTTTATGGTGTATATGTATGTGTGTGTGGTATCTGTGTGTGCTTATGTGTGTGTGCACATGTCTGTGGAGGCTAGAGAAGTCGACATTGGATGTCTTTCCTTTACCCCTCTTTTACTTTTTGAAGCATGGTCTCTCACTGAATCTGGAGCTCACTGATTTGTCAAGACTGGCTGGTCAATGAATTCCCTGGGTCCACCAATCTCCACTCCCTCAAATCTATGGTTACATTTGTGCAACTGGCCTTTATGTGGTCGATGAGCATCTGAACTCAGGTCCTCATGCTTATGCAGCAGGCACTTTACCAGCGGAGGCATCTCCCCAGCCCCATCACACTACACACACACACACACACACACACATACACACACACACACACACACACACGCACTCTTTAAATAAAAGGAACTTAAAACAGTTATGACAAGATGTTAACAACATCCCTCCTTATGCCGAGAATGTTCACATTCTTGTAGTCTATAGTTTGCCATATTTTTAAAATTAAAAAAATTAATTAAGAAAGAGTACAGGAAAGCTGATTCCAAAATACACACTTGCTAGATATCAATCATACTCAGTCAATTACCTGGTTCAGTAATTTTTGGATCAAATCTCCGAGATACTCTCATGATCCCTTAGGACTTTACTATTTCCCACATAAATGCTACCTTCCCAGGAATCAGGTCCTGGAAGCTTTTGTAAGGACACTAGGAAGATGATTCAGATTCACAAATTCCCATTTATTGCTTCCTCTCGGAAATGAGCAATTTCATGCTGAGTTATTTTTATTACTCTTATCATCCCCATGACAAATCCCTTTAACTTGAACCTTGTTTGGGGATCTGATTTTAATTAAAAGAAATCCGTATCAGGGATACACTCTTACTTTCTTCAACTGGACTGCCTCCCGGCACCACTTGCATTTGAT